TGGTGGGGACATCTATCAACCGAACGCGTCCTCGTACACACAGCACTGTACGCAGGGCTATTAGCTGATAGGCATGAATGTATCAAACTGCGGCAAAACTCAATCTATTGTATCATTATCCTTTGCTGAATGAAGCATAAATTGAACTGAAACATAAGGATTAATATAAATTAGGAAATTAGAGGAGAAAGTAGAAAAACTTTTGCTTTCTGTTAATTTTTTGCGATTTTTTTTCTGTACTGATAATTATTCTGGTTGCTATAAGAAAAATAAAACATAGTTGAACTTTGGTGACCTTGCCCTTTGTTGTACAATATTATTTCCTTTATCACAGTTTGTTTCAATATGAATATGCATTGTCAATATTAATTTTGAATACAAACAAGTTTTAGGATTGAAACAGCAGTGGGAAAGGAGTCTACCAAATTGTAAATATCTTACACAAACATTGGTGCCTAATTTGTTTATTTTAAAGGACATAATTTCCAGCTATTTTCAAAGTAATTTGAATATTTTAGTATAAAAACCAAAGGCCTCATTCTCAGAAAAAATATAACAGATAACAGAAAATCTTAGTATTTTGTACAGGTGTCTGTCAAAAATTAATGATTTACCAAGACAAATATGAACTGCCTTATTATATCCATTGTGTGACTACTGTATTATTTGAAAAGTAAAAAAAACGGCCTCAAGAAACAACTATCATGTTGCAAGAAAATCAACTCAAAGCGTTATAGTGATTGGAATGCATGTAAAAGCATATGGCTAATCAGAGTTTACATAGCATATGACATTGAACAGATGTTGAATTGCCAAAGGATGCCAATAGTTAGTTGGTGTCCAGTGGAGAGAGAAGTCAACGGTATTGTTGCCTCAAAAGAATCTACATCTTCAAACTCTGCAATCTTTGTTTTTTTGGAATCGAGTTTTTAAATTAGTATTATAAAAGCTCTATAATTCTGTTCTTATAGCTTAAACAAATTCCTGTGAATTTTGCTTTCAAAAATTATATACATGTTCTTCAACAAAAAAATGTTTTATCAAATGAACTGTTTGTCAAATACAGAATACATATTTTTGAGTAAAATTTTCTTTTCAAAATGTGGATGCAACAATTTGCTTTCAAGTATTTTTGCATTGTACTTGTTTTGATAACTTTGAACGAAACAGATTGGCTTCAGATCTTGTGTATCAGACTGTGCAACAACTCTCTCTGTGAGTTGGCATTGAACCCCAGTCTAGTATTCCCA